TTTTATTTATTTTTATGTGGTGCTGAGGATCGAACCCAGTGCCTCATCACATGTGCTGGGCAAGTGCTCTACCACTGAGCCAGGACCCCAGCCCCCACCCTCGGCCATTCTACCCTCCCCTCTTCTCCCTTTCACATCTCATAACATTTTGAGGACACTAGCATGAGGGTGACCAAGTCTTCCATTTTCCCCAGCATCAAAGGATTTCCTGGGATACAGGCCTCTCAGTACTAAATCCAGGAAAGTCCCCAGTAGAATGGGACAGATTGGTCACCTAGAAAATGCCAGTCTAGAAGGAGCAATTGGTCCCTAAAGAGGGTGTTTCAGAGCAAAGGGAGAAGCCTGGGGAGAGAGGAACGGAACTTTGGGTTCACTGGAGGTTATGGGGAGGGGAACAAGCCCCATCAGAAGAGTGGTGGGAAGGCAGGAGGGACAGAGAAGAAAAACCGAGCTCCAGTTTGGAAGGACTTGTAATGAGTGGCCAGGAGAGGACTCTTCTGCTCGCTGAGGGCGCAGCGCCATCTAGTGAACTTCTGAGGGAGTGTCCTGCCTCCGCTTCTGCAGCCTGCTCTTCCCACCTTCCTCTCCAGGAGTGGCTAGGGGTGAGAGGGACACCCTCTCACCTGGGCTCTAGAATACAGCTCAGTGACAGATGGCTTGCCTAAAATTCTCGAGGCCCTAGGTTTGATCCCCTTTACCCAAAACTCCACACTGGGGTTAGATGCAGGGAGGCAGGGGCTGTGACCACTGCTGGTGACAGTGACATCTTGCCTCACCCCAGCCTTCCTGCCAAGGTGGCTTCTCCCACAGTGAGTAGCAGATTTTAAGGCAGGAGGAGCTCTGCCACCTGGGTGCCTTCAGTGAGTCCCAGCCCAACCCTGGGCCTCAGTCTCCTCCCCTGTAAAATGGGGAGAGGAGTTGGGCCAACATGTCCCTAAGTGCTAAAGTACACATGTGGGTCCTGGAACAGGATCTGATCGGCCTGTGGAGGAGTACTGCTGTGTGCTGCTACGTTAGTGTGCAGCCAGAGTGGGAGTGCTGTTGGCCTGCAGCCTCCAGCTTCTGGAAAGCACGGCCCTGGCTCCTCTGGGCCCACTCCTCCAGCTCTTCCTGGCCAGGGTCCAGGCCCTTTGGGGCCAAGGCCAGACTCTCTGCTACAAGACCTGCTGTTCGCAAGCATAAAGCAATTCTGCTCTGTGGGTCCTGGGAGCGTTTCTAATGGGCAGTAGAGCCACCTGGATGGGAGTGGAGGGGAAGCAAAACCACCTGAGGGCCCCGTCCTTGAAGACAGATTGGATTGCTAGTCCCCATGCACCCTGTCCCCACTGTCACTGGGAGCTGCCTTCTGATCTACTCTGGCAGCCAGTACCAGGAAGATGTCTCTTGGTGTCCTCCTATCACCCCGCTTAGGCAGCCTCAGCCCTTTTCCCCTTGCCCCTGCTAGAAGGGGTCGGAGAGGCACCCGGGGTGATGTTCAAACATAAATGGTGCCCCAAACAAAATCTTCCTAAGTGATGGGGTATGCAGACTGGACCCCTCTCACCTCCAGAAGCATCAATAACCCAGACTTTCTCTCCCCATGATCCATATAGATTTGAAAATGAACTTCAGGCCATGACTGGCAGAGCCCTCAACTGGTACTGGAAGGCCATGTGGGCCTGTGTGAGCCCGCTGCTCATCATCGGTCTCTTACTCTTCTACCTGAGTGACTACATCCTCACAGGGACCCTGCAGTACCAAGCCTGGGATGCCACCCAGGTATCTGCTGTCCCCACAGGACAGGCCTGGCCACACCAAAACACAGCTTTTAGTTCTCTGACACCCGCTGTGGTATGAGGAGGTTATGGGTCACAACATGAAAACCTCACCAAGGTATTTTACAAATGCTCAGTCCAGGACAGCAAAGCCGGGTATGTTTTTAAATGTGTCCCAGTGATGAGACAGTCTCCTCTGAAGCATCCCAGTGGACCTTTACCTGGGTATTGAGAAAGTGTCCCTGAAAAGGCTGCTGGTTCCTGACTCCTGGGCAGGAAACTCCTCCTCCATACAGGTATCTGGGTGCCACATTGAACAGAGATACAGAGCACATTTACCACCACAGAAAGTTCTAGTCTGGGTTCAAGGTGGACCTACATTTAGGTGCCCTGAGTGAGGTGTCAGATTATCCCTATTTATGGAAGAGTGAGAAGCGGGCTCCTAGCACATTTGCTGTGAACTGCAGGGTTGGGGTGGCCTCTGGTGTGGCATGGCAGCCCCTCAGGTCTCTTCCCACCCCATGCTGCCTCTTCACCTCCTTGAGGGCTGAGGCCTGGGCATAGTGCTCAGAAGGTTCTATGGAAAGGTTTCCTCTGCTGACACTGTCCCTCCTTGCAGGGTCAGCTGGTGACCAAGGATTACCCGGCATATGCTCTAGCTGTTATTGGGCTGCTTGTGGCATCCTCCACTATGTGCATCCCCCTGGTGGCCCTGGGGATTTTCATCATGCATCGCTATAAGAGGGGAGACACAGCCCCCGTGGCCTGAGAACTGGACCTCCCAGAGACGCCCCGTGTCACAGCTGCTGAAACTGGTGGAAGCGCCTTAGCTGCTTTTAAAATACTTCGGCCTCCAGGATTCACCCCTAGCCTCCAGAGATGACACAAAATTCAGAAGCCACGGAGGAGGAAGATTCCCTGGGAAGAAAGCAGACTGCTCACAAACCCAGCCTCCATCCTTTGCGGGCCCTGAAGGCCACAGCATGCTGCATCCTTGTCACCAAGGTTAAGGCTAGGCTTGAAGATAATTGTTTCCTTGATTCTACAAAGTCCTAGGAGTAAGGCACACTGTGAGCTGAAATTTTACCATAATTCTTTGGGACCCAAATATAAGCAATTTGGTTTTTTGCTGAGGAAACACCAAAATATTAGAGAACAATACTTTTACTTCAGTTGGAGGAGTTTTGAAGTACCTAAGGTGCCACATTTGAATACTGTCGGTGTTTAATTACGCTTTTGTTTTGTTTTACTCAGTGAACATGTGACTTCTGTATTCCCTGTCCACTTTTTACATGTGAAGAAGACTGACTGGCCATCGAGAGAGACCTTTACTGGGCCCCAAAGGGAATTACCTGTCTCTCATCTAAGGTCTCTCACAGTGGTCCAGGACTAGCCCTCTTTACAAAAACTGCCCCAAGTACTGTATGCAACCTCCAAATCCCTGAGGAATATGAACAGATATCCCATCCATGGTGTCTTAGTGCCTTAGAAAAGGTTCTAGAAATTACTGTGAAGATGAAGAGTAAATTTAACTTTCCCATATATTTAAAATGATATTTGGGCATAACAACTCTATAAAGAAAACAAACATCAATTACAGTGTTTATTTATCTGTACATAAGAACTTCTAAAATGTACGTAATTTAAACAGAGCATTTTATTAGTGAAGATACACCATATGTATGATTATAGCATAAGCCCACTATGTGATTCTATTTTACTGTAATAAAGTAGGTTAACATTACCCTGAAGTAGGAGGGTCCCCTTCCTGCCCAGCATTCTGTGCTTCCTTGAGGTCCTGGAATCAGGAGCATTCCTTTGGGTATATTGATACAGACATCTTTGAAGACACTTAAACACCCACTTGGGACATCAGCTGGAGATATCTCTTTTAAACTTATTTTCATGCTATAAATTTCCTTACAGCAAAAATAAATATTAGGAAGGTCTTTTGCTATCTTAGCCACCAGCTTATCAATACTTCCAGCTTCCCCGATGTCTGTTTTTTTGTTCCTTTCAAATGTCTGAACTGCATTTATTTACTCAATACTCAGTCCTCTGGTTTCTCATCTGATGGTTTTCCACACTTGAAGAGTGGGCCCTCCCCAGGCCAAACACCCAGTCTGTTTCATCCTTAAGGGCCTGTCCCCTCCTCTTGACCTCCAGATGTGGTCACTGTCCTAGGACACAGTGCCACCCCCTCCTGCAGTCAGTCACAGGCAGTGGGAGCCTGTCAACTCTGAAGTCAGCCTCAGAGGTGAAAAGAGAAAGGTCGACGTATGACTGCTTCACTCAGGCCTGCACTCTTCCAGTGCACCCCTGCCACCACCCATCCCCATCCACCACCCATTCCCATCTACTCCCATTCCCATCCACCTGGGAGCACTGCAAACTCCAGACGGCCACATCCTACAGAAAATTTTAAGATTTTAAAAATTCTCAGGTGATTCCAATGTGCAGCAAAATCTGAAAGCCAGGCCCCATTTAAGATGGAAAGAAAATGGTGGTATATTTAGTTACATCAATAAGGACTTCTAACATCGGAAAGCATTTCCAATTATGGGGAAAAGGCACTTCTGCGGAATAACCGCTCATGGAAATCAGAGAGAGAACGCAACACAAGGCTCCTTGACTCATGTGGTTATATCCCAAAAAAACCCTTGAGTTAAAACACCCAAAGTTAAAAACATGATTACCCCTCACTTACCAACCCTCAGCTCAGCAGCACAGCGCTCTGTGTTGTGTAGGATGCTGACCTTGGTGACCCTGTGGCTGCAAGCTGCTCACATGCCCCAAGTACCATGTAGCATCTCACTAGTGTGGTCAAACCTTAAGACACAGTTTCTACTGGATGCATGTGGCTTTCACAACGTCACAGAGCAAAAATATCCCAGGTCACACCAGCATCAGTCAGACGATGATGTCTGTATGTAATCTGTTCCAGGCGATAATGTCTCTGGTTTGACTGAAATTTTACTCTGGCTTCTGTGAACTTCACGAAGAGCAGGACACTTCTCAGTAATCCTCTTGGGCCAGTAGTAAGTCTTGTTTTAGAAAAGTTTTTTTGCTGTTTGCTAGGTACTGCACAAAAATGGTAGTCTAGGGACTTGTCCACCCACCCTCCAATAGGAGGAAAGGGACATTCCATCCTTGTCACTTAACAGTGACCATGGCATCATGGCCAGATGGTGGACTCTGGAAACTTCCTATTCATGCTGGAAGTAGAACTACCTTGGACTTAGCTCCAAGATATCAGGTAGGGGAAAAATTGTTTTTTATCCACTGTCATTGTCAATAAAACGTTAAACAAGTATATCTGTAGTTGGGATTTTTTCGTCATTTACTCATACAGTACCAGACCTCTCTGTACACAAGAGATCCTTTCATCATATAAGCACAAAAGCTAATTCCGAAAAGTGGAAAATAAAGAAAAGGCAGAGACTCAGTAAGTCTTTTTTTTTTTTTTTCCCTGTCACCCCTTCCCATGTTCACCTTCTCACGTAGCCAGTAAAACGACACCATCATGGAGCATGAAGTCGGCCCCAGGAGGAGATGAGGGTTCAGTTCCATGAGAAAAGTTAGGAAAACTATTTCCAATGAGCTGGATTTACAATAGAGTGGAAGGTCTTCTGAATTGTGAGGATTCCTTCTAACCCTCAAGAATGCCCCAGAACGAAACATTACATTTAACTGGGGATACATAATATGTCCTAAACTAGAAGACACACAAAGAAATGTGAAAGGGAAAATAAACTGTTTTAAAGGAAGACAGCCAGGGGTTAAGGACAACAGCAGCATGGCACACCACCTGTGTCTGTGTAACCACGACTTCCTCCTTCCTCTCCTCCCCTTTTGAGCCAATTTGCTACAGAGCTTCAAATAATCACTACATGTTGGATTTGGTGTAAGCCCAACCTCCCCAGGAAATGACTTGATTGCCTCCAAAACTAGCTCTGGCCTCAGAATATTCTTCTCTCCCTACTATGATAGGCAGACTAACAAGATGTCCCTGTCTCCTGGTGTTCATGCCTTCATAAATTCTCCCCTTGAATGAGCTGGATTCAGTGATGACTTCTGCATAGAATAAAAAGTGGTGGGATAACACTTCCAAGATTAGATCATAGAAGACTGTGACTTCCATCTTGCTAGCAGACATTACTGTTGGCTTTGACGAACCAAACTACTACACTGTAGAGGACCACGTGGCAAGAAACTGAGAGTGACTTCCAGCCAACAGCCAGCAGCCTGTGAGGACTGCATCTTGACAACCAATGGGGTAATCTTGAAAGTGGACCCAGATGAATCCTATTAGCAGCCTTTGTAGAAGACCCTGAAGCAGGAGGCAGAACTGAAATGCCCAAATTTCTGATGCACAAGAACTATGAGACGATGAAAAAGGTAAATGGAAAACAGGATCTCAGAAGCTATTGACTCTGTTTACTTATATTGTCTAAATTTTCCATAATGATCATGCATTGCTTTGAGATTAAAAAAAAAAGTTAGAAAAACTCATCTTCAAGATAAAGTATAGGAACAAACAAAACCAACAGTAGTTAAAAAAGAATATGACATTTTATTTTCACTTAAGGATGTACAGTACATGAATTAAGAAATAAAATCATTGCAGGGTTCTGAAATATTGATAGCTTATGACTTAACATACCAATAAGTCCATTCCCTGCAAAGCAGCCACATTAGCGGTTCAGATTTGGTCTTTGATGCAGTTGGTTTCACATCATTACTGTGAAATGCCCAGTAGCATTTGGATAATATATTACAGTAGACATGAGCTATGTGTCAATATTCCATCTTTGGAACAAATTATGCTTATTTACATGTTAGGAATAGGTGGCTCTATCTACTTACCCTACTGTGAGTTTTAATGACTGATTTTAAGCTACACAGCATTTTCCCAGCTATTATTTCTTTCAGAGTTTCTAAAAGCAACAATTCTTATTAATGTTTTAAAAGATTATGTTGAAAAAGATAATGTTAAAATAAAGGCGCTTTTAGAAATATTTAAGGACAACATAAGGAAAAAACCTGTACATATTTTCAAGCAAAACACTGAAATATCGTAGCAGTGTTTAATCAAATTGTTTCAAAATAGTGGTAATTACACTACCTTACATACTGTACTATTATCTAAACCTCATAATTACAATTTGAATATACAATCTGACTTACAATTACAACTATGCACAGCTTCTGAAGCATATTTTTCAGGTTTGTTTTTGCACATGAATTGAAGTTGAGTTGGTCCTTGATTTGGAGAACTATAACTACCTGGAAGCACTAAATTTTAGACACACTTATTGATAGCCAACAAAAAAAAAAAAACGTGACAGAGAGAAAAGCAATAATAACATGCGTGGAAAAGCAGCTGTTGCCCCAAGTGCAATATCAGATATAGCACGACACCCCCTCAGAGGCCTCTGGGTCTCAATGAAAAACCCCCAAAGAAATCAAAATGTACAGGAGGAAGCAGCTGGCTAGTCAAGGGTATTTCCTACAATGGGGCAATCCTTAAAAAGTAGAGGCTTTGGACCTTTAGCATAAGAGAGACTTTCCATTCTTTGATTCCATTCACAACTGGTAAAGAAGACAGAAGTCTGTCTTGACCCTTCATTACACGTAAACTGCTGTGCACTGAAGCAGCTCAAGCTGACTGAGGCCGAGGCAGCCCACTGGAAACTGAAGAACCCAGACCCCCATCCTCCTGCACCTTCCTGTGAGTCACAGACTATATCATGAAGCTATCTGATGTAAGTAAGAGTCTTACATTTTATAGACATGGTAGAGTTAGCTCATTATTAAACTTTGAAGAAAAGTCCAAAGGTGAGGCAAAGTATGCTTGCTAACGGTGACTGCACCTACAATGACAATAACAAAACAGCTAGAAAAATAATTTTACTGTTTTAAATAATGAAAGAAGCTAATTTTTTTAAAATATATTACTCATCTGCAACAGCTGATTAACTTGACAATGAGTCGAGTCCTTCTTTTCAGTGAGCTCAATTCAGGTTATTTTTCAATTATAATATAGCTTCAAATTATAAATATAACCATCCCAATAGTAAAGAGATCATCAAGGCAGTAACATCAGATCAATTCTAAGTCATCATTCCACACAGAGCACAAGAGGTGCTTTTGAAAAAAGGCTTTAAAAAGACAGTGGCTGATGTGGAAAGCGGGTCAGTAAAGACTCCAGTTCTGTATCATGGAATCTTCCAAGCCAAGCCGCTTTCCACAAACACAAATTCAGTCTATCTTTTCTTTCTGGACCAATCTAGGAGCATCAACAAAATCTTTGCCATTATAAAGAATAATAAAAAATGTTCCAATGCTTGCAACTCCCCAGAAAAGTACATAAGCCAGTGTTTCTGTCCACGTGTCACCTGTTGATGAAAAAAAAAAAAAAAAAAAGAGTTGATAAATAAAGTCACTCACTGATATCAAATCCAGGAGTAAGGTGTCTAGTATGTCCTCACAACATTAAAGCTTATCAGCCCATCCTCAAGAAAAATGTACAAACCTCTTAATTAAGATTTAAACCAGCAGTTCTCAAACTCTCATTAGTTCTAGAATCTTCTGCAGGCCTTGATGAACTATCAACTCCTGGGCTCTAAGAATTTATACTTCTAACAAGTTCCCAGATGATGCTGATGCCACACTCTGACAACCAATGGAGTAAACTCTTTCACATTATATCTCACAAATGATAAATGAAAATTCTGAGATTACAAACTTTAATACTATAAGAAACTACTAAAATACACTTTATAAAATATGTTTCAGACATAGGATATATTCAAATATATAACACAAAACATAACAACATATTTTAATAATATTTAGCACGACTCTACTGGTGGCATTTTTCAAAGTCTGGAGTTCATGAAGGATATAGTAGCAAACCAGTAGGCAAAGATCTATTTCATTTTACTCCTGGAACAATTGAGCTTGGGGTCACTTCTCTCCTACAACTGTACTGGCCTCATCTGTAGACAGTGCAACACAAACAGAGGCCGACAAGGAAGGCCAACATCTGGACTCTCCCCTTCCACCCTGGCAGAGTTTGTGCTGTGCTTGTTTTTCATGCCCTTGAAAACCACAGCAGGGGCTAGAGATCAGACACCATCATCATGCCCAAATATGTCAAAGTTCATTATTTACAGCAATTAACTGACATGAGATGTTACCATCTACAGTACCCGATCTCGTTTTGCTAAATATACCCCAAAACTCACATACTCATAATTTTCACAGCCCTAAACTTAACAATTCTTGACAAAAGAAGAAAGGCAGCTGCTCAGAACTCTTTGGACATTCCCCCAAAGAGTTCTCTTCTGCAAGCTGAGCTCTTGGTGTTAACTTTCCAGCTGCTCTCACGATTCTTTATGTAAAATGGCACAGTAAACAAAACAAGACTGACTGACAGTGGAGTGGCTCTCAGGAAAAGGCTTCCAGTGGGCATTATTTTTAAGAAAGAAGCCAGGATCTAGTGGGTGAATGAACCAGCCTTTGGTTGCTGGCTCTAGATCATTCTGTCCTCTTCCTTTTTGCCATAAAACCTGACATAGGACTTGTAGTGATGCCAGAGGTAATTCCTGTGCCCTCAACCTATTTTTATCCTGTGAGCTAAGAATGGATTTTGATTTTAAAGGGCTGTAAAAACAAAAACAAAAAGTATATGACAGAGACAGCATGTAATCCATTAGGACAAAAATATTTACTATCTGGCTCTTTACAGAAAAAGCGTGCTAACTAGAGTGATAAACAGGATGGTTCCTTCCTCCTACCCATCATTCCAGTGGTGACAGTCTGCCATGTGTAACAGGGAGGGAACACAGAGATGAACAGGCACTGAGCCTCCCCCTCAAGAAGCTGCCAGAAACAGCAGTGGAGGTGGGGATGGTAGTTGAATAAATCCTTAGTTCTGTATACATCTGAGGGCTTACTACATCTTCAATATTGGAAATGAAACAGTAAGACATATTCTCTGCCCTCAGAAAGTTGCTGATCTGGCTGGGCACAGTGGCACATGCCTGTAATCCCAGAGGCCCAGGAGGCTGAGGCAAGAGGATTGTGAGTTCAAAGCCAGCCTCAGCAACTCAGTGAGACCCTGTCTCTAAATAAAATACAAAAAAGGGCTTCAGTGGCTAACAGGCCCTGGTTTAATTTCCAGTACAAAAAAAAAAAAAAAAAGTTGCTGACCCAATGAAAAAGACAAACAAGTATACATATGATTGCCATAGAGAAATACACACTGGTTCTGCCCAACACTCTAAAAAGGGATTTTACCTCTGAGAG